ATTCTTTGCCACTGAATGAACGAACGTAGCCTGACATCTTCCACGATGAATTCCTTTGGAAGCTTCAACCTGAATGAAATGGATGAAATGGAAAAATCTTATTTATTTGACTAATTTAAATGAAAATAGAAAAACGAGCCGCGGTGAATTCCGCCGGAAAAGCCAGCCAACTGGCAAAGAAACCGTAAAACGTACTCCAGCAGGGCGTGCATTCTTTGCCACCGAATGAACGAACGTAGCGTGACATCAACCATTCTGATCGTCCACGATGAACTCCTCTGGAAGCTTCAACCTGGATAAATGAACCTGAAAAACCTAAATGAATGGTAAAATCTTATTTATTCAATTTAAATGAAAAAAACCGCAAAGAAACCGACCGGTCGGCAAAGAAAAGAGAAAAGAAGAGCAAAGAAAGGTATCTATATAGGATTTATGCTCTATATAACTCTATATAACTCTATATAACTCTATATAACCATGCATACTACCACATTCAATCAATAAAAATCCTACTAAAACCAGCAACCACCGCGTACCTACAAACATGCAAACTCTATATAACTCTATACAACACTATATAACTCTATATAACTCTATATAACTCTATATAATAAAATAAATTAAAATAAAAAAATTTTAAAAATAAAATAAATGAGATCAGACACTGCTTCAAGCGAGGCAGAATGCTGATCTGATTTTCATGTTGTCTCAGCTCCTCTATTTATACTCGTTTCAACCATACATTCTCATCATTTCAATCATTCGCATCAGTAAAAAACTTGTTTAATGTATATACTGCACTATTATACAGTCTTAACCACAATGCTAACCGTACTAAATTGAAGTCATCGAACGAACGCCTTCGAAACTTTCTGGTTGGCTGGTTGAATCTGCTATATTGCTTTTCATATAAACATATAATCTAATATAATATAATTTAATTATTTGTATACATGGATTCCAGTCACTTTATATATATATAATAAAAATTCATTATAAAAGCAACAGTAATCAGAGTTATATATGTAAGCACGCAGTTCGAATTTTTCGGGGAGAATTCAAAATAGTTTAAGACCACACCTTGCTTAACATCCTATTCCAAGCCGAGCCAAGCCAAGCTGAGCCAATATGCATAGATTTATAAGCGCTTTTATGTTAAAATTTTGCTCGCTATATTTATATATTTTATAACTTCATTATAAAAACAACAGTAATCATTGCTATATATGTACGCACGCAGTTCAAATTTTTCGGGGAGAATTCAAAATAGTTTAAGACCACACCTTGCTTAACATCCGATTCCAAGCCGAGCCAAGCCAAGCTGAGCCAATATGCATAGATTTATAAGCGCTTTTATATTAAAATTTTGCTCGCTTTTTAAACGAATATCCCAATATAACAAATTCTCCATCCTATTT